TTTACTTGTTATCATCTTATAGAGAATATCTGATCTACATATTCAACTAAATATCTTTTTAAGCCTTTCTATTTCATATAATTTATTTATTCCCTTACACTCATGTTACACCTCTTCTACACATTTTCCATATGCTCAGCGAGCTAATCCTTGTATGTATCAGCAATTGGTTCCAGGGATCACCACCACCATGGACCAGGCTTCTTTCTTCTTTCAACACACTGGCCGTATCCCACTGAGGCGGGGGTGGCCCAAAAGGAAAAACAAAAGTTTCTCCTTTTACATTTAGTAATTTTTTTTTTTCAGCAAGTCGGCCGTCTCCCACCGAGGCAGGGTGACCCAAAAAAGAAAGAAAATCCCCAAAAAGAAAATACTTCCATCATCATTCAACACTTTCACCACACTCGCACATTATCACTGTTTTTGCAGAGGTGCTCAGAATACACAGTTTAGAAGCATACACATATAAAGATACACAACATATCCCTCCAAACTGCCAATATCCCAAACCCCTCCTTTAAAGTGCAGGCATTGTACTTCCCATTTCCAGGGCTCAAGTCCGACTATATGAAAATAACCGTTTCCCTGAATCCCTTCACTAAATATTACCCTGCTCACGCTCCAACAGATCGTCAGGTCCCAAGTACCATTCGTCTCCATTCACTCCTATCTAACACGCTCACGCACGCTTGCTGGAAGTCCAAGCCCCTTGCCCACAAAACCTCCTTTACCCCCTCTCTCCAACCCTTTCGAGGACGACCCCTACCCCGCCTTCCTTCCCCTATAGATTTATATGCTTTCCATGTCATTCTACTTTGATCCATTCTCTCTAAATGACCAAACCACCTCAACAACCCCTCTTCTGCCCTCTGACTAATACTTTTATTAACTCCACACCTTTTCCTAATTTCCACACTCCGAATTTTCTGCATATTTACACCACACATTGCCCTTAAACAGGACATCTCCACTGCCTCCAACCGTCTCCTGGCTGCTGCATTTACCACCCAAGCTTCACACCCATATAAGAGTGTTGGTACTACTATAATTTCATACATTCCCTTCTTTGCCTCCATAGATAACGTTTTTTGACTCAACATATACCTCAACGCACCACTCACCTTTTTTCCCTCATCAATTCTATGATTAACCTCATCCTTCACAAATCCATCCGCCGACACGTCAACTCCCAAGTATCTGAAAACATTCACTTCTTCCATACTCCTCCTCCCCAATTTGATATCCAATTTTTCTTTATCTAAATCATTTGACACCCTCATCACCTTACTCTTTTCTATGTTCACTTTCAACTTTCTACCTTTACACACATTCCCAAACTCATCCACTAACCTTTGCAATTTTTCTTTAGAATCTCCCATAAGCACAGTATCATCAGCAAAAAGTAACTGTGTCAATTCCCATTTTGAATTTGATTCCCCAAAATTTAATCCCACCCCTCTCCCGAACACCCTAGCATTTACTTCCTTTACAACCCCATCTATAAATATATTAAACAACCATGGTGACATTACACATCCCTGTCAAGACCTACTTTTACCGGGAAGTAGTCTCCCTCTCTTCTACACACCCTAACCTGAGCCTCACTATCCTCATAAAAACTCTTTACAGCATTTAATAACTTACCACCTATTCCATATACTTGCAACATCTGCCACATTGCTCCTCTATCAATTAGTAATATATACAGGAAAAGGGGTTACTAGCGCCTTGCTCCCAGCATTTTAGTTGCCTCTTATGACATGCATGGCTTAAGGAGGAAGAATTCTGTTCCACTTCGCCTGGAGATAAGAGGAAATAAACAACAAGAACAAGAACTAGCAAGAAAATAGAAGAAAACCCAGAAGGGTGTGTATATATATATGCTTGTACATGCATGTGTAGTGTGACCTAAGTGTAAGTAGAGGTAGCAAGACATACCTGAAATCTTGCATGTTTATGAGACAGAAAAGAGACACCAGCAATTCTGCCATTATGTAAAACAATTACAGGCTTTAGTCTTACACTCGCTTGGCAGGATGGTAGTACCTCCCTGGGCAGTTGTTGTCTACCAACCTACTACCTAGAATGGACCAGGCTGTCTACAGTATTTTGGAAAGAAAATATTACATGAATAAGAATTACTGTATTAATACAGGAAACCAAAGTGTAAATCAAATGTAAATAGAAGTTTGTAAGATTTACTATTGACTCTGGTGTTTGTAAGACAAGACCAACAATCCTGCCACTGTGCAAAATATGTAAAAGGCATATATTTCACACTTGTATAACAGGATGGTAGCACCTCACTGAGTGGTTTAATATTTATCAACTTATTACAAAGTTCCTACACTGCTCCTTATTTCCTTGTATAAGCAGGCAATCTGTAGCCCTTGTATAAGCAGGCAATCTGTAGCCCTTGTATAAGCAGGCAATCTGTAGCCCTTGTATAAGCAGGCAATCTGTAGCCCTTGTATAAGCAGGCAATCTGTAGCCCTTGTATAAGCAGGCAATCTGTAGCCCTTGTATAAGCAGGCAATCTGTAGCCTTTGTATAAGCAGGCAATCTGTAGCCCTTGTATAAGCAGGCAATCTGTAGCCCTTGTATAAGCAGGCAATCTGTAGCCCTTGTATAAGCAGGCAATCTGTAGCCCTTGTATAAGCAGGCAATCTGTAGCCCTTGTATAAGCAGGCAATCTGTAGCCCTTGTATAAGCAGGCAATCTGTAGCCCTTGTATAAGCAGGCAATCTGTAGCCCTTGTATAAGCAGGCAATCTGTAGCCCTTGTATAAGCAGGCAATCTGTAGCCCTTGTATAAGCAGGCAATCTGTAGCCCATGTATAAACAGGCAATCTGTAGCCCTTGTATAAGCAGGCAATCTATATCTATGTTGACACCAGTTTAACATCTCTGCTGATAGTGTATCTGACCCACTCGTGCAGCTCTTCCTATAGTTATAACCACCAATCTTTTTTAAATTTAAGCTTTTATTAAATTATCATATATCTTCCCTACTTTCACATTAAAAGAAAACTTACTTCATTTCATTTACAATTTCAATGTGATAACCTATCTGTTTGCAGTAATATGATTACACCATTTATTAGTCAAATTTGGAAAAATTTATCCGAGAAATGACGAATGTTACGTCTTCAATAAATCACTTAGGGTTGCAAAACACACAAAGGCAGAATGAACACTGCCTTTGTGTCTTTATTTTACAGCTCGTCAGTATTTTATACACGTTAGTGATTCTATATTCACTATACAAGAAATTTTCCTCCATAAATGGAAGGAAGCGAGGGGAAAAATGGTGAGTGAAAAGATGATGGAAATAAGAAAAAAGAAAGAGGGGGGAGGTATGAGAAAGAAAAAATGTGGATGAACTAGGGGAAGAGAAGGATGTGGAAAGGAAGAAATAAGGAAAGTTGGGGAGGAAAGAGACAAAGGGGAGACAAACAAAAAGGTTACAATAGTAAACTGAAAAAAAAGGGGGGGGGGGGCAGAATGGGGAAGAGTATGAAAATGAAGAAATGAAGAGACAAGAAGGAAGTAATGGTGGACAGGAGTATGGACGATACAAGAAGTCAGGTATGAGAGGTAAGGAATTGAGATGAGAGGGCATGAAGGTGAGGGTAGTGGTGAAGTCAAAGGAGATAGTGGTGATAGATGTGGTGGTGGTGAAGGCAGAAGATATAGTGGTGATTCATGTGGTGAAAAAAAGAGTTGGGAAGAATAAGAAAAGAGGAGGAGGAAGAAATGGTTGTAAAGGAGAGAAAGGTTGGTGGTGAAGAAGAAACAAAAGAAAGAAAAGGATGAAGGTTAAAATAGTACAAGTAGAAATGTGTTGCAAAGAATGTGGTGTAAATGATGAAGGCAAAAGGATGAAAGGAAGAAGAGAAAGAGGTGAAGGAGGAAGAGGATAAGGAAGATACAGAGGAATACATCGGAAAGAAAGAGGTGACCAAGAAAGGGAGAGAAAGAGATGAAGAGATAATGATAAGTAATAAACACATGCAATACATATGACTGCACTCTTCTGTTATAATAAAGTTCCTGTGTAAAAAAAAAAAAAAAACTACATGTGCATAAATATTTCAATGATATTTAAAATACTGTTTAATTATTAAACTAAATAAATATGATAAACATTTATATAACTATCTATAAAGATTGTAAAATGAAGCTGATGAAATGCAAAATTCTTAGAATGTCCTGACTGCAAATGTGTTAAGAATAAAATTATGAAAGTTTTGAAGGTAGTGTACCACAACATGCAGACATGAATAAAGATGTAAAAAATTCAAATAACCTACTGCAGCCTTGTAAGTGAAGAATAGGTAAGATGACTCCGTAAAAGAATTTTAATTGTTCCATTATTCCTTTCCCATGAGCAAGAATGCATATACAAACAAATATTCATACTGAAACCAGTCAGCAACCTACGTCAAGGCTAGAAATTTTTATATACATGAAGTAACAGTTAAACTATATTCACATGTTTAACATGAAGCCATATACAACATTCTAATTAAAGCATTAAGTAAAGGCAAAAAGAAACGTACACAAAACTATGAAAAAATATATCATTATTGTCAAGACTTGCAACACTGGTGAACATATTGTTTATGAACTCTTAAAACCACATTAACCATCATACACCTTAAAAATACTAAGCCTCATACAAACTGCTAAATTTTCTTTTCACTGAGTAAGCATTACAAAACTTGCCACATGATACACTAAATACCAAACAAAAAACTGCAGTAAACTTTACAATAATGAGATTTAGTACAATGGTCACTCTGAACACTATACATCATCACACCTAAAATGAAAAGTCCCACTTCTTACCTTGGAGTAATTTCTTTTAGAGGTTCACTCCTTTTCTCCTATTTGCCCTCTAAGTGAATGAGCTACATTTGTTAACAGAAATATAAGGTGTGGACTGCTGAAGCAGTTGTAAAACATGATACTACTGGTATATACAAACACAAGAAATACCTGTTGCTGTACTTCTGGTTTTTCTTCGATTACTGGCATCTGGCTCTGACTGTTCACTGTCTTTTCTTGTTTTGGTGCCTTGTATTGGGCTCTTGTCTTTGTCCTTGGACTGTGGACTTTTGTCCTTGGGCATTATTTTGTTCTCCTTAATTACACTTGGAGTTCTTTTATCTTTTAATTGAGCATCTTTATCTTTCACAAGTTCTTTTCTTTCTAATTCTTTTTCCCTTGCTCCATCTTTTTCTCTAACTGGGTCTTTTACCCCTCTGTCTTTATTATCACGAATGGTTTGAGGTTTCACTAACTGACCCATTTGTCCTCTTTCTCTATATGGTTCTGGTGACTTTTCCTTATTTGTAACACGGTTGTTTTGTCTAGGAGTACGGCGTGTTGGAGTAGTGTCTCGCGTTGTGCCAATGGACTCTGCAGAACTTTGCCTTTCCCTACTACGTGTAGAAGTTTTGCAGGAAGTTCGACTGCTCCGAGATGATGGCCTGCAAGAATAAATATAGGTAAATAATGGACAAGGATAAATTGATAAATTTTATCCGAAACACTTTTATAAAAATACCATTCTTTTTAAGATGCAATCTACTTCATTTGCATTGTTTAAGTAAAACAAAAAAATAGCAAATTAGTAAACAGTCTAGTCATAGCTACAAAAGTGCACAAGTTACATTCCCTAACCCTTTGACTGTTTTGTCCATTTATATACGTCTTACGAGCCAGTGTTTCGGACATATGTACTATACTCAATAATTCTAGCAGCTTCAAATCAAGCAGGAGAAAGCTGGTAAGCCCATGTGTGAGAGAATGGGTCAGTGTGAACTGTATAAAAAAAAATCCTGCAGCATGCAGTACATAATGAGAGAAAAAAAACTCCGACCGTATTTTTGGATTAAAACGCCAACTTTGAGGTGTACGTATTTTCCTATAGTATTTATGGTTGTATTCTCATTTTCTTGGTCTCATTTGACAGAATGGAAAATATATTAAAGAAATAGAGAATATTTTGATTAGTTTCACGATGAAAACGACCTTGAAATTGAGCTCAAAGTAGCGGAAACGTTCAATTTTTACCAATGTTCAAGCAAGCAAATCACACCACACGTTCAATACATGTCAACTGGGGAGTCTAATATTCTTTCACTAGTGCACTGATATTATTTATAAAATTTTTACAATAATGCAGTAACCTGCATAACAGTAAATCTTCTATTTTTTTGTGTGACTAAAAAATCAAAATAGAAAGCAAGAGTAATATAAGAGGGGCCTGAAGACGTGACTAATGAACAGAGGATATGTTATTTTAGTGCCAAGAATGTCTGCATTGTTTATTCTGGACCCTATTTTGAAATTGGCAGAGGCGCCTGACTATGACAGTTTAGATGTCACTACGAACAGCCAATATCCCGAACCCCTCCTTTAAAGTGAAGGCACTGTACTTCCCACCTCCAGGACTCAAGTCTGGCTAACCAGTTTCCCTTAATCCCTTCACAAAATATTACCCTGCTCACACTCCAACAGCTTGTCAGGTCCCAAAAATTATTCATCTCCATTCACTCCTATCTAATGTGCTCACACAGGCCTGCTGCATATCCAGACCTCTTGCACACAAAACCTCTTTAACCCCTAGCTCCCTCCTTTCCTAGGACGACCCCTACCCCTCCACTACAGATTTATACACCCTCTAAGTAAACCTATTTTGCTCCATCCTCTCTAAATGACGAAACCACCTCAATAACCTTTCTTCAGCCCTCTGAATAATACTTTTAGTAACTCCGCACTTCCTAATTTCCACACTACAAATTCTCTGAATAATATTTACACCACACACTGCCTTTAGACACGACATCTCCACTGCCTCCAGCCTCTTTGTCGCTGCGGCATTCACAACCCATGGTTTACACCCACATAAAAATATTATACTGACATAATTCAAGCATAACAATGCAAGGTTCCCCTACCATGGATGCCAACTCTCTACCTTTTAATGAAGACTAATCTATTATACTTGCTTTCATTTAAATTTTACTCTTGCACTAACCCCTACCCACACACCCCTTACTCTCTCACTCACTTATTTCACACTTGCACATCCCTCTGCAGTATGTCCCTTATGGGTTTGGCACTAATTTTTTTTTTGAGAGAAAGCTGGTAGGCCTACATATGAAAGAATGGGTCTATGTGGTCAGTGTGCACAGTATAAAAAAAAATCCTGCAGAACACAGTGCATAATGAGAAAAAAAAAAACTTTGACCATGTTTTTGGTTTAAAACAGCGACTCTGCAGTGTATTTTCGTATGGTATTTATGGTTGTATACTAGTTTTCCTGGTCTCATTTTATAGAATGGAAGACATATTACAGAAATTGAAATGATTTTAATTGGTTTCACAATGAAAAGTACCTTGATATTGAGCTCAAAGTAGCAGAAATGTTCGATTTTTGCCAAAGTTCAAAATTATACAAATCATGCCACGCGTCCAATACACGTCAACTGGCAAGTCTGATATTCTTTCTCAAGTGCACTGATATTATTTATACCATTTCTACACTAATGCAGTAGTCTGCATAACAGTAAATCTTCTATTTTTTGTGAGAATAAAATTTCAAAGTGGGAAGCAAAAGAAATGTAAGAGGGGCCTGGGGACATGACTAATGCACAGAGAAAATGTTATTTTAGTGCCAGGAATGTCTGTCTTGTTTATTCTGGACCCTATTTGGAAATTGGCATCTTTTGAAATGAGAGAGAAACTGGCAAAATTGCCAATTTCTGACCACTTTATTGGATAGTTGAAATCAGTAAATGGGTGGTTTCTTGTACTCAGTTGATAGAAAAAATGGAGTTCTAGTGAAATAGTTATGATTTTTGTCGACTAGTACACTGGAATTGGCCAAAAATAGGGCTCAAAGTGGGCGAAATCGCAGATGCGTAAACATCGTTGAGACCGCTAACCTCGTGAGAGCATAATTCCGTAAGTTTTCCATCAAATTTTATACTTTTGGTGTCATTATGATCGGGAAAAGATTCTCTATCATTCCATAAGAAATTTTTTTTTTCCCGAAAAATTTTCAACCCTGAGAACAAGTTTGGTAGAGGCCCTCTTGACCCTGAAAGGGTTAAAGTGCAGGCATTGTACTTCCCATTTCCAGGGCTCAAGTCTGGCTAATTGTAATTACACTATTATTATTATTATTCTCACATTCTTCAAAAATAAGGGAAAGACAATCCTTAGAACTATCTATAGATAAGCATATCACCTGGTCCTTTAGAACATATTCAATATATTTAATCCCATTTCACTGTCAGGGCTCCAAAATTAAAAGTGCCAACAATGCTGGTATTTAAAAAATTCTTCTAAGTGGTAATTTTTTTTTCTGAGGGTAATGACACCAAAACTCATTCAGTTAGATGGCAAATTTGTGCAATTATGCAGGTGAAAAGTTAGCAGTCTGGGCACAATTTACTCAGCAACAATTTTACTCATCTTAAGTTCTATTTTAAGCCAATTCCACTGCTCAATTCAAATTCTTAGTATTTCACTAGCTTGCCTTCTGTTCTATTAACCGAGCACAAGAATCGCCCATTCAACTATCAGAACTACCCTTTACAGTGCATAGAATGTAGTAATTTAGTCAGTTTTACAAAAAATTCAACAACTTCCAATTTGAAAACAGTCCAAAATAAATATTGTATGTATTCCAGCAACTAAAGCAACATTCTTTGTTAATTAATCATGCCTCCAGGCTTTTCTTATATTACTCTTGCCCTCCATTTTGAATGAATTACACAAAAAATCTAAGTTTTACCCTATTTCTTGGATAATAAAATACAATATAACCAGAAATGATTGGTCATGGTCTAAGTTATCCCAATAATTGAAGCAGACTTAGTAAAACTGCATGAAATAGACCTGGCTGGGGAGGATGGGGGGGCGTCTTACCCTTCTTCAGGAAAATTGTTAAAAAAATAATATTTCTGCTGCTCTGAGCCCTATTTCAAGCTAGTTCCAGTAATTTAACCAAGTCTGTGACTACAAATAGGTATTCACATAAAATATATGTAAATCATAATTAATCTGTAATGTATTTCAAGACAGCTCATTAAATGAGATGCAACTACGTGCCTATTCAAAATATCTTTTTTTTTAACATATCAGCCGTTTCCTACCAAGGCAGGGTGACAAAAAAAAACTTTCAACAATACTCAACTCAGTCTTACCAGAAGCATGCTGATACTATGTTTCATATTTTATAATATGAAAAAGCAAGAAACAGAATGTTTTGAAGTAAAATCAGAGAGGAACCATTAAATTTAATACAAAAGGACATTTTACAAAGAAATTTGTTTAATTCTTCATTACCTGTTAAGGTACAGTATTTAATAACACTACTACTACTAATAATAATCTTATTTCTGTAAGTACATGTACAAAGCATACAGGCCTAGCTGACATTAATGACATACTATATAGAAAGCTGCTTGTTATGCAGAGCATTTTGGGCAAAGTAGGTCAGTTTTGTCCCAGGATGCAACCCACACCAGTTGACTAACACCCAGTTAACCATTTTATACTGATGGGTGAACATGGATAGGTGTCGCATGGAAACTCATCCTAATGTTTTCCAGCCATACCGGGCACTCGAACTCTGGATCTCAGTGTGTGAGCCAAGTGCACTAGCAATCGAGTTACGGGACATCAGTCCTTTCACATTGCAGTTAATTTTCAGGTTTGCTCTCAAAATTATCAATTGTTGTACAACCAAAATGTATGAAATTAAGCTTTTCTTATTTTTTTCAACATATGAAGAACATACATGTTCTATATTCATTATTTTCCATTAACCCTGGCATTACTGATGCCAGGGTCCCTCACATAGATCCACATTATGAGCTCAGCACACTCAGATAAGCTGTGAGCAGTAAATTTTGGCATAGATACAAGAGAAAGGGTCTGTGCAGCAAGTGTGCACAGTATAAAAAAAATTCAGCATCATGTATTGCATGATGCAAAAAGCAAAACTGATCTTGTGTTTGGTTAAAAATAACGAATGAGGCGTTTTATAGGATGGCTTTTATAGTTTTACTGGCCGTTTCTTGGTATCACCTGATAAAATGGAAGATGTACTAAAGATGATTTTAGTTGGTTCCAGGAATGGAAGTAGCTTGAAATCAGCCTTAAATTAACAGAGGTATTCGATTTTTGCCAATATTCCTGAGGACGGGTAAAGCCTCCTTACACTCTCCTGTCTGTTTTATGGGTTTTTACTATTTTTTTTTTTCAACAAGTCGGCCGTCTCCCACCGAGGCAGGGTGACCCAAAAAGAAAGAAAATCCCCAAAAAGAAAAAACTTTCATCATTCAACACTTTCACCTCACTCACACAATCACTGTTTTTGCAGAGGTGCTCATAACACAACAGTTTAGAAGCATATACGTATAAAGATACACAACATATCCCTCCAAACTGCTAATATCCTGAAACCCCTCCT